GGATGAGTCCAAGTTTGAAATAGTTGGTTCAAAGCATAGGTTGTACTGGAGGAAGAAAGGTGAAAGATACTTACCTCAATGCATAGCACCTACCATGAAGCATGGGGGAGGCAGTGTGATGGTTTGGGGATGTTTTTTTTGCTGAGGTGATAGGAGATATTTGCAAAATATATGTAATAATGGACCAGTGCAAGTACTATGAGATACTGATCCATCTTGATATACTCAGTGGTTTGCATATTATTGGTAAACAATTCTGCTACCAAGGAGATAATGATCACCAAACACTCATTCAACCTATGCCAAAATTACTTAGCTAAGAAAAAAGCTGTTGGAGTCATTCAAATGATGCAATGGCCCCCACAGAGCTCCGACCTCAACCCAATTGAGCAGATATTGGATTTGATAGAACAAAAATTTGACAAATCAAAAGTTACATCCAAAGAAACTTTATGGGAGTGTATTAAAGACATTTATTGTAAAATCCTAAAGAACACTTTGATTAAATATGTTGCAACAATGCCTGAAATATTGTCTGCAGTTATTAAAACAAAAAGGGGACACACAAACTATTAACTGTTTGCTGAACTCGAGCACTTCCACTGAGTTTCTATTGTACTAAATATGAAGATTAATAACATTCTGATGTATCACCTGTGATTTACCTTCCATTGTTCTTTGAAAGTAGCCTGAAATCTAATTTTTGACTTTGTCCTAACACTTTGGCACAGTACTCTATGTTTAAAAAAAAAAAAAAATCAGGTTCGGCAAACAAAAACTACTACTACTTATTTAGTTTTCAGTAGTGTCAATTATACAGAGTAGCTACTAAAAATAATTCAGACACATATTACATGAGTATCATACATCACCAATGTTATGGTCTAACTGTAGGCTAGCAAGTTTAGAAAATTTAGAAACAAACCTTGGATCTGGGTTGTCTTATGCTTTCTTTAGACATTCTTTTCATTTCCAAAAATGTTTTCATTTTAAAATGTGTGTTTGGAAAATTATATTAATTTTATTTAATGACAAGACATTAGGTTTAGTGATAACTGTAGGTGATAGTAAAGTATTGTGAGGACTCGTATTTTTATTTATTAGATAAAATGGCCATGTTTATCATATTCAAACCATGCACAATATTATTTATTAAATGTAAACTACTTCTTGTACATAAATTGATCTTGACTAAAAATATTGTTACCCGAGAAAGATAATGGTGATACCATTTCAAAATTTTTTTTTATGATTTATAGACAGAAATGATTATTACAATCAGCAAAATAAAGTATATTGAAAGAAATATGTTAATGAACATCAATAAACTTGAAACTAACTAGATATATAAAATGGAAATTTCTATTCAACAAACAATAAGAAAAAATTGAAGTTCTAAGATAAAAGGAAATATTTAAAAAAAAATTTTCAAAACCTTTTGGAAATTTCATAACCTAAATAATAATAGAAATATTAAACCAGATAATATTGCTTTTTTAAAGCCAAAACTCTTAGTTAAAGTTTGTACTAAGTTTCATGCATTTTGGTTAAGTATATCCAATAAGAGAAGAAAAAAATGGGGATGTCTGTGATACCCCTCCTGTCCAGAAAGGGTTAAATGTCAATACCAACATTTTGTCAGCTCTAATTTTAAACTGAACTTTACATATGAACTATAATTATATGGTTAGATTTAATTTTTTGTAATTTTAATTTGACTTGTGTCTACCAGGTGGCCATATAAGTTTATCTAAAAACTTATTGTACTTTAGAAAAAACATTATTTATATACATTAATATGTGAATTGTATTAAAGAAAGTATGTGATTTTGAAGTTCTTTCTTAGGGAGGTAGGAAATGAAATAATTATTTTGAAGTTTCTTCTTAGGGAGATAGGAAATGAGACTGATTTTAAAGTTCTTCGTTAAGGAAATGGGACATGAGGCAAAGTTTAGGTTTGTGTTTCATTAGTGTCATATATTTGCAGTATTTAAGTTAATGTTAATTTTTTTGCAAAATCTTAAAGAGCGTTTAAAACAGATGAATAATATATACTAATATTTCTAAAAAAATCTGTATTTTGGAGACAAGTTCATTAACTGTCAAGGTAAGGAAAAGGGTTTAGTGATTTGGTTCAGGATCATTGAAATGTTTCTAAATTCATAAATATGAAATAAGCTGGTTTTGCAACTTCAATTAACTTGTGAGTTGCTTTGCTTATGCCATCTTAAGCATTTGTACAGTATGGATTATTTTCACTTTCTTCATACGGATCAGATTGTTGTCATGGAATCCAATCTGAAATTAGAACTTGTTGCTCAATTGCAAGTACATGTAGAGACATTTTTAGTTAGAAATGTCACTAGTGCTATGTGTGATGGTCATGTTCATACTTTTTATACTTTTAGATGTGTGTATCTGAAGGTGAAGAAATAGCAGCATAGTAAAAAAACATTTTGTGTTGTGAATGTACAAGCTTTAACAGCAAAACTGAAAAACCTTAAACATTTTATCATAAATTGCCACAGCTATAGTAAAATTAACAAAGTGAATCGTAAGAGTTTTGCAGTCACCTTCTCCTATTTCCTAAAGTTATGTGCCTTATAATTAAGCACTACTTAATGTTTAGTTGAACAAGGCAGTCTTTTTTTGCCATTTTCTTAATTAGCATTAAGATTTGATTTTGTTAGTGGGTTTCTACAAGTATACTCTAAATGCTACTTAGTAACCAGTTTTAGTTCATTTGATTTCTGCCAACATTTACAGTTGTACTATGCTGTAGATCGAAACATGTAAATTGTACCTAGAACCTTATTTTTGTGTAGTAACTTCAAATAACAGGAGGAATGGCCAGAATGTGCATTTTGGAAGCTGAAAATTTGATATGACTGAGTTGAAGGAAAGAGACTGGATATAATGTTGAAGTAAAATCAATCTTTATGTAGCATAAAACAAGTCAAAATACTGCGTAGTACGTTAAACATTGGACAGCACTTCCAGGAAACATAAAGAAATTTGGGAATCCTTAATGTTATTTTGAAAATTATCTGTTCTAAACTGAGAAAGTATAGTATCATATGTACAAAAAACCAGTTATGTTATCATTCTCAGAGTACAGGCACTAATTACATCATTGATTATCCCAAATGATGGTAGGGACTGTTTAACTCTTTCTGTATGAATATGTGGATTACACTGACCTTGTAACCACCAAGTAACCATGAGAATATCTATACTATAACTTTCAATGTAGTACATGTATCTTCAGGAAATTTGGCAATCTTTTATTAAACATTACTTGTCTTTTGTACACAAAAAAAATTGAAATTTTTTTTTTTAATTATATATTTTGCTAAAGATTTGTTTGTGTCTATATGGAATCAGAATATTGACTAGTCTGAGTGAAAAGTGATATTTATATTAAGATTAAAAATACTTTTATTTATCTAAAAATTTTCAATTTATATAAATATCAAACTTTTTTTTTCAGTTAAACTAACTATGTATGGACTCGGTCAATTTGACTGACATTGTAACCACCATAAGAAAATACAAAATAAATCTAAATTACTTTTTTTCTTTATAAAATAATATATGGTTGTAACAAAAAACTGCAATTGTTTATCCTAAATAGCTTAAAGCTCATAACAGTCTACATCTGTTTCTACTTAATTTTATTGTTTAATTGGTCTTTGAACTGTGTCTAACTAATAATTCCTTCATGTAAATTGTAAATAACTTGGCGAACACATAGCTCAAGTTACCATATTTAATGATGTAAAGCATGAGCTACTCGCAAGCATACCTTGTGTAGAATTTGTATTATTATTGTAACAGATGTGGTTAGTCGTAGGTTCGACTTTCATTAACTACAATTAAATTTATCTGTTACCGAGATATTTATGCAGTTGTGGGTTAGACTTGCAAATCACCAACTCAAAGATGTTTACATAAAGAATAAAGAAATAATTTTTAGTTTGGTGAATAAAACAACAAATATTCCTTTGTTATTAAATTACATAAGTACAAAAAACACATATATTGTTGTTATTCAATTGCATAAGTGCAAATGATTACCCTTCAAATATTTTTCTGCTAATGATGCAAATTAAGTCAGAAAGCTATTAAAAAATAAATTATTGTAATCAAATCTTTCCATTCTCTAGTCTTGGTTACTTATACTTTGCTAGAAAAAGTGAGATGTCAAAGTAAATATACATAGAGGTTGTATAGTGGAAGTTTATATATGTGGTAACTCTGGTCATTTGGCTACTGGCTCAAGATGGTTGGGAGAGCTGCCCCAAAACTTGCTAGCTGCAGATCAGGGAGAAAGCTTCATAATAAACCAGAGAGAGCAAAGAGCTGCTGAGAGAGTCCTTACATTAGGTTAAAAGGCTCTCAGATAAGAATATTACCACATACTTAAGTATAATATCAAACTGTATTCATCCAATTGGGTTATAGACCACAATATGACCTCAGATTGGGTTCATTGCCACCACTGATGTGATAGTTTTGTTGGACACTTGATCCTTCTGCTCGGTACACATTTTAGCAAACATCTGTTGTAAGAACTTTCTTTTTTTTTTTCCTCATAGTGTCAAATTCCATTACTATTGGTCTTATCCTAGGGAATTCAATGCCTGCATTTCTTCACTTCTATCTGTATGTCTTGCATTTCATAAACATTCTGTCACCTTTCTTGATTTAGGATATCAGTGCAGCATCACCTAAAGACTTAAATAATTTCTAGAGATTGTTCTTATTAAATCATCTCACTGGAAGATACACAGAGACTGCTGTTACCACATCCCTTACTCCTTATTTCATATAAGGTTATTTCTTCATGTCTTAATAAATGCTTTAGAATAATAAGTCAATTATATCTTCAATAATGAGTTTAATAAAAGAAAACATTGAACACTGTTTTAATCCTTCTGTTAATTCTTGTTAACCCTATATGGTCAGTCATTCATCATGTTTATGGCACACATCTTTGATGTCATAACTCATTAAAAAAAAAAAATGCATGTTGACAAAATGATTTTCTAAAACATTTGCATTATAAGTGATTGTTTTATTATTATTTTTCATTAACTTATCTAACCTAATAAGTTTCTAATTTTCACATTTTGATAACTTTTATAACTACAGATAAAAATTATACACAAAAAACAAGAAATATAGTACTGACATTTAATGTCTTGTTTTTTTGTAGTCAGTTACCAATGAAACTTAAGCCTACTTTTTGTAATGGCAGTACTAGTATTTTAAATCATGTTATTTATTTCAACAATGCACTTAAGAACACAGAATAATAACATGCATAAAGCAAACAATGTCCTATAACTATTATGATTTCACTAGCTTTTTGACGAAGACAAGAGGGGCTTAGAATAATTCCCTTGGCTAGTTGATCTGAACACAGTGAGAGAAACATTGAAACTGAAGATGAATTGGCTAAAATACTGTAATTAGAATTATTAATGTAGCATTATACATCATTCAACACATTCAACCTTTCTGTTTCTGTTAGTTATAAATGGTATAATAGTAAATGTTGGAGAGAATTATCAGCAATTTGTGGAAAAGAGGGTGTGACTGGTGAGCATGGCAGGTGGGTCTGACTTTCTAGTTTATGTCACTGTAAACAAAGAAGATTGAAGACTATATAAATTAGACTTTGCCTCAGTAATATCTGTACTATAATGAGTAATTTCCATCAAACTCTATACATCAGAATGGTATGGTAAATAAATTAGAGAATGGATAAGACCTAGAGAATATATGTTACAATTCTCATAAAAGGGGAGATTGAGGATATATTTAATATCTCCTTCTAAAATTAAGAAATAAAAAATTATATGACTACATTTCCATGCCAAATTATTTGTATACATTGATAATAAAGTAGCTTAATTAAATTTTGGATGTAGCTCTGTAAAAGGTCGTGAAATGCACTTTAATCTATCCATAGCAAGAAGGTTAGCCCTTAGGAAATTCTAAACTTAAACATGGCAGTGTTATGAGAGGAAGTAGATACAAGATTCAAAATTAAATCTATGCCAAAGTCATCTGTGAGAAATGCCTTGACCGTGTGTACATAGCACATTATAAAGTCAGTACTACACATGGTGGATTTCATATATGTGAAAGACAGAAAGTGTATATCTAAAAACTTGTGAAATCTTCAGCAAATTTAACAGTTTATATTTCTAAGCTGATGGAGAAAGAAAGCATGATGTTTCAAAGTATTCCACTACAAAAGCCTGAGTTAGGACATAGTCAGAAATTTTTACACACTTGATTTTGGTTAAAATATGATTTATATTATTATATATCAGTAGTTGATCACTTACATCTGTTTACTTGTGTTAATTTGAAATGGACTTCTCTGTAAGAGTGAAATTTAAATGAAAATGAGTTTTTGTTTTATGTGTAAAAGGTTGATAGTAACAAACTGCCCAAATGTTAAGTATCTGAACCATTACACATAGGAACGGGTTGTAATGCTTGTTATCTGGAAAAAGTGGAAAGAATTAAGAAGTGGGACGGTGAACATCCTGGGATTGATGAGGTATGTTTTAACATGTTTGGGCGTAAATGCATCTAAGAAATGTCTAGTTGCACTGATGATTGATATGATATACAACTTATGGTATGGTACTCACAAAAGTAACATAATAAAAATGTTATGAGACAATGTAGACCAGCTAGGAAAAATCAGTAACAACAGTTTTAAAAGAGTTGTTTATGAAAATAAGTAATATTAGACGGTAAAAGCTAATGTTTTACAACATTTAACCCTAAAGTTACTAGTGTGATATGAATGGACCCCATCAACGTTTAAACACTTCTAAACTATTTTGCACAAAATTGCTTGTGGGTGTATAACTTTGTTGGTTAGAAAGTCCCTAATAACATACTAGTCACACATGTGAAAAATGTAAAAAAAAACACCACCAATGTTGCAATTGATACTATTATGTACCTTACATAGAAAATTAATAATTACACCTTTTTTTGCTTAATTTTTATTTTGTATGTTGTAACAGGCAAAACAAAAACAAATTACTGAATATTTGCAATATGTGGACCACACTGGTAGTGAACAGTAAAAAACTCAAGTTAGCAATTTGTAAATTAATAAGGAAAAAAGATTAAAACCTTGTAGTACAGCATGAGGTAAACAATGTAATTTTTAATGTAGTTTAGTAAATATAGGAATGTATGTGATTGATTCTCCTGCACTCCATTTAATATTTTCACGATACTACATTTATGAGAACTTATTATATATATATATATAAAACATGGGTGCAATTTTGCCCGGTGGCACAGCTCTGTATTTAATAAATGGAAAACCAGGCTCAAATATGTGTGATACCACAAGATATTCCCTACACTTTAAGCTGTGGTTACATTATAGGAATGGCAGTCATACAATAAGAATGGTTAGTAGGGTGGTGCTGACTTACTGCCTAACCTTCTGGTCAGTAGTTTAAAATTAGGGATGGTGGCAGATAGCCTTGATGGGGTTTTACCCCTGGTCAGTAGTTTAAAATTAGGGATGGTGGCAGATAGCCTTGATAGGTTTTCCCCTGGTCAGTAGTTTAAAATTAGGGATGGTGGCAGATAGCC